TTTAAACCGACGACGCGGTACTTGGGACCTGATCATGCAACCGGGCTATTCCGATAGTATTGCCCTCCCCATTTCGTCCAACCCATTTGGCTTAGGATACAGCTTGTTTAGTTTATCCTATAGGATAAACCAAACATTCTCAATTAGGTTGAGATCAAGAGAAAAGGGAAAGCAGTCAGGTTTTGGGATACCATACTACTCCCAAATCTGCCGAGTATAATGTGCTCAGTGAGCAGATGCTCTATCCTCTATGAGCCAGAGAGGATGAGCAGCATGCTTACTCTCTGGCTTCCAAAAAGGCTGGAGTACCAGGGTGAGAATTTTATCAACGTAACATTTTAATATTACAATGCCTCAGCTCTTATCCCAAAGAATGGGAATACTTTTCTTAGCTCCCAAGAATGCACTCCATACCATAATAGTATTTAATTTGTGAAACCTAGGGAGGAGACAATTATCATGATACTTCTCTCCTGGATGCTAGGTCACCCAAACACGACTTGTATGACATGATAGCTATACATAATACTCATCAGTTTAGACGACCTAGTGCCAATCCTCCTCCGTCCAATCCTGATGGGGAGTTGTGAAGAGCTAAGCATAGTCTTTTCTTCCACTCATCAAGAAATGACTTCTTTCAGGCAACCCTCTGGGAATAGCCTTCCATTCGAGAGGCTTTCCTGAGGGTTCTTTTAGAGGCTTGGATGCTACAAGCCACAGCAATCCCAACAAGTAGTATTTGGCGATGAGTGATGCTCAAGGTAGCTGTAGCTACCAGTCAATGACATGGAGGGGTGTTGAGAGAAAATTTCCTTCCCTTGTGCATTTTTGTAGTAGAAAGACACTGACAGATGTTGAAAACAGTGCCAAGACTGAGATTCTGATCTTCCACAATTTGTCTGTAGGTCCAGCCTGCTGAATTTCACAAGACTTGGATAGTGCATCATTGCTTATAAGATGCTCATTCACGCTCGTTGGTCTTCTATTTTTCTGGATCATATTCATGTAAGTTTCTGTTCATAATTCTCTCTGATTGGGAGTAATTCACTTACAGGCAATGTTTTTCTAGTTTAGCAGCAGTTATATAAATGTTTTTAATATTTCACAGAATTGTTACTTCTTGCTAAGATGGCATGAACCCAGTAACTATACTCCCTTTTGAATCAAATTTCCCTCTTTTTAATTACTTTTATACTAACTACTTTTGCTATTTGCAGGTATAATTCAATGTCCTTGGCAAAAAGGTTCAAGCTCTGGGGACCTCCTGATGTTCAGTCTGATCATAGTAAGAACTTATACAAGAGTGATTAAAATCCTGTTACGCAGAGCAACTAAGAGTTGCCGACTTAGGGATTATTTATCAATCTGATAGAATAGCATTCTGCGAATTAGTAGGAAGTCTACTGGAAGATATCTATAGGTTGGATACGGAGTTATGAAGGTTTGAAGTCAGACGACCTCGAAAGATTGCAATTATAACTACCTTTGCAGTTACAACCCACAGAGGAAACTGATCATTTCATCAATGACAGAAACAATTGGGATGAACTCAGTTCACCTTAAGAACAAGACTATAAATCTAAAGACTTTAATGATCGGATAACTACTATTGGGAATAGTATAGTTTCAAGTTAGTTATATTGTAATTGTCAAGGAGGTTGTAGTGATTTTCAGAGTCTCCAAGTATATGCACCTTTTAGGAATACCCAACATTGCGAGTTATAATCAAAGAGGTACATAGTTGTATAATAAATAGATGTAGTCCACAAATACTCAAATGCAGAATATAAATATCAAAGTGTCTCTCAAGCTTTAGACATCATCAAGCAATAGAGAAGAGACCATAACAATATAATATTGTCTTTACCATTCAATTCTACTTTACCTATTTGGCTTCACTCTCAGTAGTCATTAACGAAACAAGTGAAGTCCGAGCCTTCCACAACAATCTCCGTCTACAGAAACGGATTTTTAGTTGTCTCCATCTAATAAGCCTCTAGAGTACTGTAGGAGTGGTTGGGAATTATTGCAACTAAAACATCCCATTACCTTTGGCCTAAATTTAGGATGTCTAACTTTGAAGCCTAGTAACTCAATGCACCTCTAATGGATTTCCTCCATTTTACTTCTCAGAGGTACTCAGAAGTCCCCTCTCAAATATTCCACAAACAGCCTCTGATTGGATAGACAGCAGCAATATATATAGTATTATGAAGTGGACTTCATTGAAATAATATTATAGTCATAGGATACAACTCTTTGAAATTATTAGGCAGAGACAATCTGATAAACTTCAGAATTGTCTGGGCTAATCAAGATTTATTTCTGTAGACGGAGATTGTCTACGAAGGCTCAAATTCACTCGTTTCGTTTATAACTATTAAGAGTAAAGTAAATTCGGTAAAGTAAGATAGAATCATAAAAACAATATTATATTGTTAATATCTCTTCTCCATTGCTTGATGATATCTAAAGCTTAGAAGGCACTTTAATATTTATATTCTACGTCTGAGTATTTGTAGACTACAGATATTTATTATACAACTATGTAATTCTCTGATTATAACTCACAATATCGGGTTTTCTTAAAAGGTGTGAATACCTGGAGACCCTGAAAATCATCACACACTTTTCAACAATTGCAATATAACTAACTAGGAACCATACAGTTCCCAATAGTAGTTATCCGATTATTAGAGTCTTTTAGACTTGTGGCCTAGTTCTCAAGTCGAACTGAGTTGGCCCCAATTTTCTCCATCATTGATGAAATGATCAGTTTTATCTGCTAATTACATCTGCAAAGGTAGTTGTAATTGTAATCTTTTTAGGTCACCTGACTTAAATCTTTCATAACTCCTTACTCAACTGATAGATATCTTCCGGAGGAATTCCTACTAATTTACAGAAAGCTATTCTACCAGATTGATAAATATTCTCTTGGTTGGCAACTCTTAGTTGCTTTAGGTAACAGGGTTTCAATACCTGTTGTAGTATTGGAAGTTATCCTGCAGCTACAATGTGTTCCAAACCCTAGTTATAACACTCTGTGAAGTCTATTAGTTTCTCCGGTAGTGTCCCTCAGAGTTCTAAACTCTTCTGTTTATTGTAGGGTATTTGTGAATATATTGGTCTCTTGTTAAGGTCCTTTACCATTCGATATCATCATTTCATGTAAAAACATCCCATTACCTACGGCCCCTGCAAAAGACATTACGTCTTTGAAGCCTAGCAACTCTCTGAGTAGTTGATGGATTTACTCTGTTTCACTTCTCAGACCTAGCCGAAGGTCCCCTCTCATATATCCTGTGAACAGCATCAGGTCAGATGGACGGCGGCAATGTATACAGTGTTATTCTGAGACCTTCAATTCTGTGGCATTATAGTCACAGGACACAACTGAGATTGATATGTATGACGTGCAAGCCCTGTAAGGGGGCCGGAGGAGGGTGTTGGAGACCAGGGATTCCGATTCCAGATGAGATTACCCTACTTAAGGTGATTCCTAGGTATCAGATCCAGGTATTCCTAACAAAAATGTCGCTAAGAACGTACAGGCCTCATAAGGGGGCTGGAGGTGGGTGTTGACAACTCCGATAAATAAAGGTCTGTGCGCAGTTATCCTACCGAGGGGTCTGTGCACTCCCATATGCCTAACAGATGCCAATCCTAATACAGTGTCAGGACACCAATCTGTAAAGTATGGTAATTGATAGGTAGACCTTACAATGGGACCAGATAGTGTCTTGGCATCGGTAAATAAGGGTCTGTGCACAGATACCTCACAGATAAAATGTTTAGTGAAGTTGAACCTCCCTTAAATATTGAAAATCCATCTAGCACCACCAGCTAGCTATTTAGCCCACAATTACCTGCCTGATGTGTTGTCAAAAGACCATTTATTGGGTCATGTTAAATACGCGGAACACCTGATCCAGTCATGTTAACAAACGCCGTTCAATTTCGAGCCTATAAATACAGGTAAATACAAGGACTTGATAAGGCAAAAAAACAAAAACAAAAACAAAGAAAACTCACCAACTTGAACAAACATACCTCGCAGTACTTCTCAAAATTTCTTCTACTATGAATCTTCCGACGGAGGCGGTGTTTGATGCTAGAAGTGAAGAGGAAGGTTCTGCTATTCGGGCGGAGGATTTCGAAACTCTAGAGTGGCGGACTGGAGCTTCCATGGCTCGGATTTCTCAGGTAATGCCTCGCGCTGGTACCAATGTGCCCACCTCTGTTCATCCGGAGTAAGTGTTGCGTCTACACCTCACAAAGTTACTCGCAGATGGTAACGGATCTTTTTTTTATATTTTCTTTGGTAGAATCCTTAATGGTATCGTGAGCACCACCGCCACCGTTCAGGCAGCGTTGCCGCCGCTCGATGGCTCGTTTGACCACTACCACTATGCACTACATGATGGCAACGTTCACAATCCCTTAGGCGCGGGGTCCTACATCTACAAAAAGGAATACATCTCTTCCCATATCCGCTACCTAGGTCTTCCCCTGCCCACTACTGGGGTCGACAAGTGCCCCCGTCGCTTCCTGCCACCCTCAACACTCATCATCCATATCGGCGCGCAACCAAATAATTCACCTCACATTGGTACCATCGTTGTATTTATCCTAGCATTCTTAATTGCACGGGACGTGAAAAAGTACTACGCCGATCTCCGCCGGAAAGCAGACCTTTCCACTGAATTCGCTGTATGGATTGGCAATTTTGAGGTAGTTGTGCGCCTGGACATCGTCGATACCGCCCCCCATAACCAGGAGGGCTGTGTACGTGATGGTATCAACTACCAAAGAAGCCAACGTTTTACAAAGGCCTACCATCGTCTTCTCCCGGATTACGAGGAGGTCATGGAGTCAGCAGCCGCATTTGTTGGAGGCGGTATCCCATACAAGCTCACGAACCAAGAGACAGTCGCCAGCATGCCAAGTGTTCCCCGTATCATCAAAGCCATAGTTAGAGACCGCGAAAGGCTCGGACCGGAGCTAGCACCGGAGACGGGAACCCTGGCAATACGTGCTGCATGTCCTCATGAGAGATGTGGGCTTGCCGAAAAACATGGCCGTAAGAACAAGTATTCCATTACCCCTTCAGGATCCACGATTATAGAGTTCTACTGCCCCAACCACGGGTATCATTCGGTCGACTCCTCGAATCCGAAGGAAGTAGCGAGGCTCGAGTTTAATACGCCGCTGAGAAACCTCGTGCGAACATTCGCATATGGCATTCAAACCACGGAGAGCAGAGAATCAGCTCGTAAGGCGGTAGCACATAGAGGTACACCGACTCGCGAATTGATCCATATGCGAGTTACGGGCTCAGACTACGCGGGTTTGTATGCGGAACAGCTGCTCTGGCGGCAGCTGATATTGTTGAAGCCTGAGATTTCTGGCCTCACCATTCAACCACCAGTAATCGCGTACGCACCGCTGATCCAAGATTGGGCGGGGTCGAAGCTGTCCAAGTCGTTGTATGTGGATAAGGGGGCATACGGGTACTTGAGGGCGACAAGGATGGGGTATATGCTGTCCTTCGATGAAATGAAAAGGCAGGGTAAAGACCACATGATTCTCTTTCGCGAAGTGGAAAAGTGGTTGGAAGATCCAAGAAAGTTATTTCGGCCCTACTCCATCGACTATCTGCATAGGATTTTCGAGCAAGAAGGTGCGAGAGAAGAGGCTATCAACAAGATGGGGGAACGGAGAGCGGTGGTCCAGTAATGTGCAACACGGGCGATAGCGCCATTCCAAGCCCAACGAAAGCCCGGCAAAAATACCATAACCGTTGGAATGATAGGGGGAGGGGGGGGGCAGAGAGGGGGACATGTACACTTTTTTGGAGAGAAATTAGGTGGAATTGGTTTCAGGATCGCTATCCCGCTGTATGCACAGTGAGGGGGGAAGGTGGCCTAGTGCAATTCTGAGCAGAACTATTGTTCAATCAGAAAAATGAAACCCGTATAAACGATACAATGACGACAGAGAAGCAATGTACGCCCTTCCTCATAGAACCGGAGTAGACTGGTGTTGGAGTGGAGATTTAGTGTAGCTAGTAACCACGATTTCAAGTTCAGTTGCAATAAAATGGATACCTAGGTCATCCTTTTTGCATTCCCGCGCTCCCGCACTATGGTACAACATCATGATTATACAAACTGACTCAGAATAGTTTCTCCATGTCCTCCAGTGGTAGCTCATCAACCATCTTTTTTGTAGCGTACATGTACCCCTGTGGCGTAGGAACACCATAGGTCTTCTTCATCACCTCTGGTCTCAGTGGCGTCTTCAGTTTATATAGATGCAGTACCGGGTAACCGAACTTCGAATCCTTCATCCCATTATCGAAATCGTCATTCCCAATGCCATTCGAGTCACATACTTCTCCAGGTATTTTCGGGCGGCTTGTGACCATCACGTGCCTAAAGCCACGGGATTAGTAAAAGCCATGAAGATTTTGAGCAGAGCTTGAATCATACGAGATGGCGGATGTTGGAGCTACTTCGTAAAGCCAAATTCGGGTCACCGTATCCCTTAATTCGTATTTCCGATACTCGTGATTTTTCTCCCGCTTCACAATGAGATTGATAAAGTGGGGTTTGATAGCAAAAATGGCATCGGTATAGACGCGATCGGAGGACGATTTTTTTGAGCGTGATTTGGACGACGATGGCAATGGAGTAACACTCGCCAGCTCCCCAGTCAGAGTCAGCTGGCGTGTATTCTCATCGGGCTTCGCTCCAGTTCGAATGGCAGGCATTTGGAAAGAGGGTGGTGTGGATATGTATAGGAAAGGACAGTTCAATAGACCTCTGTTGTGGTTGTGGTTTGAACTTTATAGTCGCGTTTTCGTGTTAGGCGTAAGGAGCGGCCTGAGCGCCAGGACGGGTACCGGTACTAGCTGAAACCAAAAAGTTGGATGGCCCCGTAAACCTGGGTGAACCACTACGAGTACTTGTACAGTATGGTGTGCGACAGCTAGGCGAGGCCCCGAAAACCGAGCGACAAGAAAACAAATTCAGGTGACAACCAACCCCTAAATTTACAAAAAATAAATCCTTAGCAATACTGCTAGGAAGCTAATAAAGAGACATAAGGTAAAAAAGGAGGAAAAAAGAGCGTAATATAGGAGGGGATAAAGGAAAAAGACAGGTGAGTTTGGGTGACAGGAGGGAATTTTTGAATGCCAAGGCACTAAGAACAGGGATAAAAAAAACAGGGACAAGAGCATGGGTTGTTGTAAGGAAAACAGAAGTTAAACTAGAAGAGGATAGTTTACAAAAGATTGAGTAGTGTTATATTGATCAGTGAGTAAAAATATATACCGTATAGTATGTAAAAGAAAATATAAAAGGAGAATAAGAACAAGAGAAAAAATGGAAAAGAGAGCAAAAACAAAAATAAAAACAAAAATGATTGTAAAAGCAAGAGTTAAAGCAAGGGCAAAAGCGTAAACTTAAGCATAAGGGAGAAAGAGTACAAGAGAAGGTAAGAAAGAAAGAGAGAAGATAAAAAAAGGGAAGAGAATGAGAGTAAGCACGAGAGCGAGCAAGAGTACTCATGTGGCCAAGTTGAAGCCTGACACCTGGGGTGATATACTTAGACAAAGGATCCGACTTCAACTCAGCCATGTAAGTAAGTATGTGTAAGGGTACATATAAAAGTAGATATAGGGAGAAGGAAAGAAGAGAAATAAGAAGGGTAAAAGAGAGTAAGAAAAGTAAGACGAGTAAAAGAGAACAAGAGAAAGAAGTTGAATGTGAAGAGGAAAGTAACTAAGAGTATATAAGAGGCAAGAGAGAACAAGAAAGAAGGTAAGAAAATAGAAACTCAAACAATATCAGCCTGGAATTCACGGCAATGAGATTTATATTGCCTCTCAGCAAAAGCTCTTTGCTCCGGGTTTAATCTGTGAAGGTAAGTGGTAATCTATCTCTTACTCCAATTGGAAAACTGTCTTATAGTTCGCAGGCTAACAGAATCTAGTACAGTGTAAATAATCTTTTCTAGTGCTGTAAAGGAGTAAGAGTAATTTTCTCGAGTATATCACTTTACCACAGCTCAGAAGAACTCAATATAATTTAACTCACAATGGAACTTCCTGTAAAATAGAACCTCATAGCCCGGTTTCACAATCTCAATTTCCAGAAGTAACTTTTCACTTAAAAAGTCTTCCTCTCTTTCCATAATTCGTATTGCACAACAATATTGACCTTTTTCACATTGGTCAAGTTTGCAAAGTTTAGAATCCTCTATGGCTTTAGGAAAAGATTCCTCTTTTTTCTTTCTTTCCCATATTGCATGGCTTTCGTCCCTCCCTCCAGAGTACTCTCTCCTGTAATACCTGTCTGAGTTCTTTAGACATACCAATCAGATTCGGAAAAATTGGAAGGCTTGTCTCCCAATCTGTATCTCCAATTTGATGAACCATTAACTGAAGAAAGTTCTGAGGAGTTAGGATAGGATGCATTATGGGCTGCTTACCCTCAGGTACAAGATTCATCCGAGTAGCAACTAGTGTATTGAGGGCTTTACAGGAATGATTACTAGAGTTGTCAAAGGCAAAAACTCCAATATGGTCTGGAAAAGCATTCTCAAAGATAGAAACCGCTTTTGTTAAAACTTGGTTGAGTATCTTTTCTGAATCCCAACATCCCTCATTGTTTTTTCCTTATTTTAGAATCTCATAAGCCTCTACCTTAGTTCTGCTCGACTTATTGTAGTAGTGTAATCATCCTTGAGCTTCAGTCAAAAATGCAGAAATCATTAAACTCTTTCTCTTTCCTTTAGGTTTCAACTACTCAGTTCCTTTTAGCTTCCATGAGTATTGATTATCATCATTCGCATTGAATGCTGATTCGTCATGAGTTACCAAAATCCTTCGTTTGGTACACCAAGGTAATCGCTCTTTCAGAATCTCGCCTCCATCATTGTACTCCCTCAAGGTTGGTACTATATGCTAATAAGAATTTAGTTACTTAGTTCCCTTAGTATTACTTACTACCTCTAATATCTACTTCCGTATCCATTCAATATCTGAGGCTTTAAAGATTATAAATTCTTATGAATACATTCCTGTAATCATAACTTCTTAATCTTTAAATCATGGAATTTTGTTTAATGTAAGAGGAAAGGAATTGAGTTATAGAAGGTAGTATAAGGATTAGGGGTAGGGGGTTTCTTATCTGCCATGTTTTGTAGAAAAACATTTTGACAGTATGCTATAACATCATCCCATTCATGACCATTAACATATCCTTTCTTATCTTAGCTAAAGACTAATCTTATTTTACCTAACTAGCATGTACTATTCATAGTCCTGTAGAATTCTCTACCCAATTTGTTTGCTCTAAGAAAGCTGATATTTGCATAATATCAACTGCCTACTCTGACTGGAAGTAGGTATTAACAACTTCACATACTCCACGTGGAGTAGCTTTTGACATTATTAATATTTTATATGATGCATTGCTAACATACCTCTTTATCACCGAACAATGATTGCATTTTAGGGTGTCTTCCTTGATAGATATCTGGAGGGGGTATTCAAAATTCCAACCAATCCTAATGCCACTTTCGTAAAGCTTTCGCCCACTTTTTACCTCTTCCCATTATTGCCGCAATAGTTATACTATCAGCAACCTACTGTGATCTTCCTCACTGTATTTCTAGGTTCAAGAGCTGCAATAGTCCATCAACTCTCTGCTTTCGTGCTCCCTCTGGTTTCTGCTTCTTACTCCAAGTAAGTAACTCCAATCTCTTCTTCTCAACTCCTGGGGCTTCCAATTCCTTGCTACAATCAGGCACCTGAAATTCTTTCTCTTGATTCCAACTTCACTTGAGAGTGAGTTCACCTGTCAAAAGTGTATCAAAGAATGATTTAAAAAATCTTTCAATTGAACCATATTCTTTTTGCATCTTATTTGCCTCCTCTTCCTCTTCCAATCTTTTTTTCTTATAGTATAACCATGAAGAGGTACTCTTCTCCTTATTTGTACATAAATATCTATACAATTTTCTCTCGACTTCTTTCCAACCATCATTTGGCTGCATTTTAACAATAATATCATCTTCCATATCGCTTAGTTTGATTGTGTCGGGTTCATCTTCTTCTTTTGAGTCCTGCTTCCTTTCTTCAATGTCTAATCCATCATGTCCTAAATTCTGTTTATTAATATTCTAACATTTTTACATTGGGGTATTTAGATTTATCTAGACTTACCTTCTGCTGCTTCGACCTGATTTTCCATTTCCCTTTCTAAACTAGCACTATCTCTCCCAAAATCTTCTAGTACAGCAAAGCTATTACCAGTACTCTTAACAGCTAATTCTTTCCCAAAACTGCTCTCTTTAACTGAACTTTTTTCTCTGAACTTCATGTCCTTTTTATCATCCCGTCCTTCACTACGACCTTTTACAACTGCCTAACTCTCCTCTTCATCCCCAGTGTGATTCTATGTCCATTTCTCCTGAGCACATTGACTTGCATAAAGAATTCGAGCTTTTTCTTTATTTTGACTAGTTATAATAAATTTGTGCTAATGTTATAGAATTGCTGGCTTGAATATAACTATTGAATTGATTGGTATTACTCTTCGGTAACTTGGACTTCCAGTATATTTATTTTCTGGCTCCAACTAGTAATGAAAAAATTTTCACCTTCACTTTTATACTATCTTGCTACTAACCCATAATAGTAACAGTCTATACCAAAATTGTATAAGTACATTATACTTATTCAGCATTTTCAACTTTTTAAAAAATTGTCAAGGAACGCCCCTTCTAGGTATCGCACACAATACCGGTATAATACCAATAAATATATCGGTATATATACTTGTACAAATACTTGAGTACTGGTATATTATGGTGTCATGTTGGGAAGCACGCTTTCTCTAACCCAATAGTGTACTCCTACAGTACTGTACTCGGGTATAAGAGTATTTCGTGTTCAGTTACACAAGTATTCTCTAGCTTATTAGCAGTTTCCGATTTTTTCCCTGAGTAAGCAGACAATACTATATCATACATGTATATTGTACTCATCCTACCCCAAAAGCCGAATACAAATGCAAAAATCATGTAGCTTAAAGGAATACATAAATGAAATCCACAAGGTGTCCAGTATCATGAAACCATACAAGATGAGTGTGTGAAGGTAATTACCCTCTGAGATCACACTGGGTGGAATTGAACCTGAATAGGTCAACACTTAAATATGAATTGACAAACCTGCTATTGTGTAAGCATATTTTTCTGTTATCATCATAGTATAGGAATTAAGATATTTGTTACTAGATCTAAAAACTAGCAAAAGAAAGTAGTACCCTATTAAATGCGCATTGTACCAGCCACTTACCCTTATTCAATAATACTGAAAAGCAGCATTTAGAAGCCTTTATCATGCGTGATGTCAGAACACGACAGCTTAGTTGAGATAAGATATGCCTAGAGATGGACTACGCATGTAGTCTACGTACTGTAAAGAAAGAGATGAATGAAACCATCAGGACACCATAAGCAGTCCCTTCTGACTTAGTAGGTTGATA